GACCATGGCATGAAGAATGCAATGCATGGCCATGAAATAGCCTAGCCGTTAGTGAATGTAAAACAAGTAGCAAGTTGGGGGGGGGGGGGGCATGCAAATAAGGACTGGGTAGATAATTTGAAGCTTTTTTTGCAAGATTATGAGCTGAGATGCTTATGCATTTTGACGTCCTAGCCGGGAGGTTTGGGCCACCCACCCCCCAGTGATCCTAAATCAATGAAAGGATGTTTTCATTGAACGTCCTCTTTAATAAGTTTTCTTTTTGTCGCGCGTGGTCGATAATTTGACGACAAATTGCTTTCGAACAGAAAATATTTAGTCTTATGTTGAGTATCCGTGACAGGTTGGATGATGACGTAAATAATAAACCAAATTATTACAAATGCATTCAAATATATTCAAAAAGACACACATGTGTGTCTTTTTGAATATATTTGAATGTGTGTCTTTTTGAATATATTTGAATGCATTTGTAATAATTTGGTTTATTATTTACATCATCATCCATTTAGTCTTATTTCGTGGAACGTGTCACGAGATACATGTTACCCAAATCAAATAGATATGTGGCTAAGTGACCTCCACGACAAATCGACAAGTGCCCTGCACCCTTATATTTTATTTGTTGCTTAAAGGGACCCTCCCACCTTAACATTAGATTTGAGTTGAGATAGCCAAATTGGTGGCCATGGCCTGAAAATACCGGTTTGGGCACTCACAACATCGAAAAATGCTTTAATTCGGAGATATCGAATTTCAAACTGGCAGTTTTCGGATTCTAAGGGGCTAATGCATTGGTATGCCCCCTTAGAATTTGTGACGTCAGCGGAGATCTAACGATTTTAAATCTTTTACTAAAACGTTTGGTAGCACGCGGTGGTATATGCTGCTTTGCGCGCAACAAATGCCGCACTTTCAAATAAAGTCGCTGGGAACAGCGGAGATCCCAAAAAGTAAACAAAAGTAAAAGTCTAATATCTTGAAAACCGGTGAATATTTTTCGATGAAATTTGGTAGATATTCGTTTTTGCTCTTTCTGAACCGAGCGACATCACTTTCATGCCAATTCATAAACTTTTTTGAAGGTGGGAGGGTCCCTTTAAAATTGGTGTAATAGGTTGTGATGGGCGGGGAAGCCAGCTGTGGCAAGGTTTTTTTCTTCGAGCAACGGTTTCCGAGATATAGCCTCGGGCAATTCCTGGAGGTCGCGCTGCAGCCCTATGTTTGGCGGCCTATAACTCAGAAACTGTTGGTTTTCTACGATAAAACATTATGTGGTTCAACTCACAATCAACTAACAAACATTTTGGCTATCTCGGATTTTCAATTTTTGAAAATTTTGATCACGTGACCTTTTTACCTATTTTTCAAAGAGTGACCTTGATATTTTCCCCACTGAAAGTTAAAATTTTGTCTGATGACGACTAAAGCCTTATCAATTGTTATTTATATGCGATAATGAAAAAGTGGTTATCGCCCCGCATTGACCTCAGGTTAGGTCATTTTTATGACCTGTTCATTATTACGAGCGGGATCGACAGCGAGATCTAGAGAAATTAGCAAGATAGCGTCAAGCGGTAAACGGTACAGGGTACACACGGATAAGGTCTACAATTTTTACCCAGGTCATTTTCAGGTCAGGTCAAAGATGACGTCACAGGGGTAAAAAGGAAGTCAAAATAGTTTGGCTGTACCTTTTGATCTAATAAAGAAAGAGACGTGGAACAGGCACCATTGTGTTTGCTTTGGCCTAGCGCCAGTTCGCTTTGAATTTCGATATCGATGACCTAAGGTCAGGTCAATTTCTTGACCATCCCATTAAAAGTCAATTTGGAAAAAATCGGCTTGCTTACTTTTAAACTAAAACACGCTCGTCTCGCCTAATATACCATGAATGACTTCAGATAGGATCAACTTTGCCTACCTTGAGACCCTTTTTGCTTTTGGGCAACTGTAAGGTCATGTGACGTCATTAAAGGTCACTAAAGGTTTTTTGCTAATAACTCCTTACAGGTTTGAGATACAGATGCGCGGATGGACTCATTGTGCTCAGCTCGTCAAGGCGCATCGAATGATATATATGATGACCTTGGGTAACGTGACCCAAGGTCAACTTTTGACCTTAACCTTTCGAGGTCAGCATGCAATTATGTTTCGATGCGGATCGACAAGAGGATCACGATAGTGCTATTAGTTTGTTCGTAGCTGGGATACCTTGAACGTTATTCGAGAAAAACTTCATATATATGTAGTGCCGCTATTTTGACTTCCTTTTTGCTCCTGTGACGTCATCTTTGGCCTGACCTGAAAATGACCTGAGTAAAAATTGTAGACCTTATCCGTGTGTACCCTGTACCGTTAACTGCTTGTCGCTATCTTGCTTTGTTCTCGATATCTTGCTGTCGCTCCCGCTCGTAATAATGGACAGGTCATAAAAATGACCTGACCTGAGATCAACGCAGGGCAATAACGACTTTTTTATTATCGCATATGAATGACAATTGATAAGGCTTTAATCGTCATCAGACAAAATTTTAACTTTCAGTGGGGAAAACACCAAGGTCACTCTTTGAAAAATAGGTCAAAAGGTCACGTGATCAAAATTTTCAAAAATTGAAAATCCGAGATGGCCAAAATGTTTGTTGGTTGATTGTGAGTTGAACCATATTAGTTTTTATGATAGAGAACTAATAGTTTCTGAGTTACAAGCCGCCAAACAAAGGGTTGCAGCGTGACCTCCAGGAATTGCCCGAGGCTATATCTCGGAAACCGTTGTTCGAAGAAAAAGATCCTTGCCACAGCTGGCTTCCCCGCCCATCACAAGCACTTCATCCAGTTTTCAACGAAGAATAGAATGTGTGGGTGCAAATTTAATTTTTTATTTGTCGATTTGTCGTGGAACTCCTTGAAGTAAGCTGTTGGCTGCTTATGCGGTGCCTGGGCTCTAAGAGAGCTCAAAGTAGATCCCAGCTACGAATATTGTGCTCAATCTATTACCCTATACGGCCCGTTCAGACTGACTGACCTCATACCTGTCGGCGCAGGGCCTCGGCTAAGGAATTTTGACTGGTGGGCCACTTGGGCAGGGACATGGACTGACCTTCGTAGCCATAGCCCCCCCCCAATTTTCGATTTCTCCCCAGATTTCGGCCACTTTATTCTGCAAAAAAACGTCAGGATGACATTCAAAAATGTAAAAAAAAAACGGGGCTCGACCCCCCCCCCCCCCGAATCTTCAGAGAGAGGAGAGAGTAGGGACCCACAGCCCTCTCAGTGGTGATACTCCGGCGGTGCACATAAAATCGCACAAGTATGCACAAAATATTGACGCAGATTATAAAACTTTGGACGATAACTTACGGCCGATCGGATGTCAAAAATCAGCAAGCCCTGAGTGGATCGCTCGCCGACTAGTCGAAGAGTCGAAGAGTCGGAGAATCGAAAGCGGTCGGACGGGATCGGGCGTTGTCGGGTGGATTGGGAGGAATTGTGAACAGCACGAGTGCAACTTTATATATAAAGTGGGTTGTAGCAGGAACCCCAAAAGGGGGTTGTAGCAGCAACCCCGACATCTCTGAAAATGATCATTAAGCCTATTGGTGTCGCATGGAAAAGAATTGACTCAAAAGCCCAAGCGCACTGCGCAACCCTAATATTTAAAAAAAAGTTATGTACACTTCTGGTGAACAGTGTCCCAAACTTCAGATTTCTCTTGGGTGTCTGAGTGGAAAATTCTAGCCACCCAAAATGTGAGAGTGGAAAATTATCCATTCTTATTCTTGTGTGTCATCTTCAGCCCAAATGAGAAATTTGTGGAACGCTGACTGTGAACGGTTCGAAATTCGTCCGACTGGTCAGATGTGTGACTGCAAGCATCATACCAGTCGTGAAGACGCATATTATCGCTTGCAGACTTCAATCGGCTGGAAGTCGCCGACACTACCACTAGTTTGACTCTGGCTTGTATCGTGTCTATCGGCGAGCCGTCTGAGATCGCTCGCAGGCTTATCCCCGACCGTCTGAACTGGTCTGTTCTTTATTCGTAGTTTTTCTTGTAACCGACTGGTCTGCGGCAGATGCTTATGTGACTGCAACCACTCGATCGATCGGAAAGCTTGCAAGAACTCTCGCAGACCTCGATCGGCTGGAAGCCGCCGACACTATCTGTACCTAATTGACAGAGGCAGACGTCTTTCACGATTATTGCATAAAATTTAAAGCCTCGGTCACACCAAGGCCCTAGGTCACACTTCACCGGATTGGACCAACGGACGAGAAACGGACGAGAACTGCCAGCGTCCGGTGATGTCCGTTTGTTTCCGTTGGACGTCCGTTTGTCATCCGTTAATATCCGTTCCATGTCCGGTGGTGTCCGGCTGAGCACACCGGACACCACCGGACATCGAACAGATATTAACGGATGAGAAACGGACGTCCAACGGAAACGAACGGACATCCCCTGGACATCACCGGACGCCGTCCGTTTCTCGTCCATTGGTCCAATCCGCTGAAGTGTGACTGAGGCTTAGCCTACGACGGCTGTCTCAAGAAACCGGGAATGGTGATGGTATTAGGCGGGCAACGATCATTTTTTTTAAGTTGCGGGTACTATAGTCCACTTTTTACCCCAAGGATACTGCAAACAATAGGTTGAAGTTTTTTCACATGAATATGCTTCACCGATGTGTATTTTACAGCCTGAAAATGTACGATAAGATCTGCTAATTCAATTTGAAATGTGAAAAATGTGAAAACTTAGATTTTTCGGAAAATTACTGGTGGGCCAAATCTTTGACGCTGGTGGGCCATTTCGGGTCACTGGTGGGCCATTTGGCCCACCAGTTAACATGTTAGCCGAGGCCCTGTGTCGGCGTGAACCCGCAGCAGGCCAAGTGGTCCAGTGGATCTGTGGTTCATTATGCTTTGTAAATTCAGTTATTCCACGTAATCTCTGCTTATGTCCACTTGTGTGCATGTCATGGTTTATACACCCTTTTCAGGTGATACCTGTGTCAACGTTTGGTCTGGGGACATGGCAGATCTACCGGTGGCAGTGGAAGCTGGACCTCATCAAGGACCTGCTGGATAAGACCAAGGCCGACCCCGTCCACTTGCCAGATGAGTGAGTCGCATGAGCCCCGGGCTGTCCGAGTCGGCGTCAATGAACGCCAACTCTTTTCTACGTTTGATTGTTTGATCGTAAAGGAAAAAATCAAATTATTGTGAATGTTTGCAATTTTTTGTCTGTTAAATTGTGAAAGGAAAGTTTGGAGTTTTAGGCTAAACAGAGTGAGGGTGAGCGTAGACAGGCAGCCTTTGCATAAATAACCTTCAAAAGAAGAGAATCGAGAATCGACAAGGAAAAAACGTTTCGTATCGTATGATGCTATCCTGAGGCCAGTTTTGCCAAAAGAAATATCCGCCGGCCGCCGAAATAAAAAATCCAGCCGAAAAAAATTGCCGCGCCACAGCTACGAGTTTCACTGACAAAAAAAATCATAAATCAAAAACTTTTTCGCTTTTATGAAAACAAATAGCATACCAATCGACGGCAAAAGGTCCACACATTACATGCCAGTTATTCATGCAGCATTTTGGTATAAGGAAAAATGGGCCTCAAACACAAAGTTTTTTTTTTGGACCGTGAACAAGTCGTGATTAGCATTCCAGGCGGTGGGGGCATTTTTTGCCCACCCCCCTTAAGTTTTTTTTCGATATATCTCCAGAACCGCTGCGCCGATCGTCACCAAACTTTCAGTACCCTCCTGTGAATAGGTTCTACACATTGTGACCAAAATTTTTCCAAGGCTATGATAGGTTGGCCGCTTATGACGTCAGAGTGACGTCATTTCTGCCATTTTCGACAAAAAAAGGTTTCGCGGGAAGAGCTGTCAGGCCTACAGCTTTAGAGGTACAGAAAAATGTGTTTGATATAAAAGTTGTTGAATTAACAGGGCTATAAAACTGCCATCTCGGATTTTTGAATTTTGACCCCCAAAAATATTTTTTTTTAAATATAATAGCCGAAAAATCCAAAAAGTTTTTGAATTTTGAAAAATTGAATATATGTGATAGTCCCTACCGCCTTCTATCCACATACCAATTTTGAGCTCGATACCTCTTTTTTGGCCAAGTTATAGCGAACAAACCAGGGCTGCGGAGTCGATGGATTTTAGGGTGACTCCGACTCCGACTCCGACTCCGGCTTCAAAAATCGACTCCGACTCCGGCTCCAACTCCGACTCCGACTCCGGATGGTTTTATTAAAATCCATACCATGATTTTAAAGTTCATAATGGAGACGTTTTTATCTTGCCTGAAACGATCCCTTGTGCGTTCCAAGGCTTTGCGTTGCAAATATGCGTTAAAAAAACATGCAGAATTACAAAGCAGGTTCTTGGGAATTCACCGTCTTCTGCTTGTCTCGCTGAAAACGTTCGTTCACAACAGCAAAATGGTCTTTTTTCGACAAAATCTAATTTCGAGCGCAGTATCGTCAATCATATAGGTGCAGTGCATGACGTTGAGCCGCTAGCGTTAACTCCGACTCCGGAGTCGGAGTCGGTAAGATTTTGGTGACTCCGACTCCGACTCCGGGCAGAACTGTCGACTCCGACCGACTCCAACTCCGACTCCGACTCCGACCCCGCAGCCCTGGAACAAACTGTTCAAAATTGATGACGTCAAATTTTCAAAATCAATTTTTTAGCAATTCTAGACCACGTAGCGCCAAACAATGACCACCAGTAGACTCTCCGTGACGAGCTGCATCGAATCAATACCAATTTTATGCAAAACTCTCAACTTTGAAATTTGACCGTTTATTTTGTTTTATTTTATTTTATTTTATTTTGTTTCATTTTATTTTATTTTATTTTATTTTATTTTATTTTATTCTGTATATCATCAACGGGCAACCGTGGCCCAATTACAGACGAAGTCAGTTGAGTAAAATTAGGTAAAATTAGCAAACAAACACACAAACACCAAACATATTTTTTATTTGCCAAATTTACGATCTATTTGAAATCATCAGCTTCATAGTCCCATGGATGAAAAAATGCACAACATTGTCCGATTTCAGTCAGGTTCTCATCAAGGTTCTCACCTCACACATTTGCCTTTTTCACATTCCCATACAAAGCGGACAAAACACAGTTATCGTGCCCATCTTACAAAACCCTTTCATAGAACAGCATGTATGCACGCGCCCTCAGTACCCTGTCCAAAGTCACTTCGGTGACGTGAGTGTCGCTTACATAGAACCACCGGCCTGCTTCAGGCTCGATATCTGGTTTGAGCTCAAAATCAGCATCCGACTGACTGAGTCTGCCCGAGAACGATCTGTCCGTGGCCTCCAGTCGAGTCTGTGTCGCGCACTGCTCCGCTCGCTCACACGCCACGGCGAACGCGTCTGTGACGAGCGTGGTGAGCCGCGCCGGATTGACTGTGAGCTGGCAGTGCCGGCGTCGGACGCGCACGTAGGCTGTGTCAGACCGCTGGACAGTCGACCGCTGTGCTCGACAACGCCGAACAGCGAATAGAGCACCCGCCGCTGGCCGGCCCGCATCTGAGGCAGGTCCTGACTGATGGAGGAGCAGAAGGGGGCCAAATCGAACCGTTCGCCGAACTGGACTTGCCGGTTCACTTTCCGCAGACCGGAGCTACTCATCTCGAACCGCTTCAGGTGGATGGTCAGCACCGGCGGCGGACTGTAGATGAGGAGCTGCTTGGTGGCACTCCTGTATATAGTACCGAACTTCCCAGATGCTGATTCAGCCGCTGTGAGCCGTTTATTGCGCAGCTCAGTTGGGCAAACTAGACCTTTGGAATCAAAATATGGAGGCATCAAAAGATTGATTCCTTATGACCAGACATGTGCATGGATCCGAGTAATGGATCTATGATCTCAGTGGATCTCGAGGCAAATTGTAGGTTCGGATCTATGATCCCACCGAATCCGGCGTGAAAAAATTGTCCTGGATCTATGATCTCACAGGATCTGACAATAAACCAAAAGCATGGATCTATGGTCTGAGTGGATCCCACATGAACAACATTTGAAACCAGGCTTCCAAGTGTTTCTCTGTCAATAAGTGCCATAAAACTATGGATTATGACGTGTTATCACATAAAAGCACTAAATAAGAACGTTTGTGAGTTATAACGAGTGATCTTTTGGGATTTCTGTGTTGACCAAAAATAAATGAGGATCTATGATCCCACTGGATCTCAATAAAAAATACTAGACTCGGATCTATGATCCCTACGGACTCTCGATAAATTAAAGAGCTGGATCTATGATCCCGACGGATCCGAGATCAGGATCCGTGGGATCAGATCCCAGATCCATTTTCTCGGATCCATGCACATGTCTGCTTATGACCATATTTGGGCATAAATGCAGACCATTTCTAACTTACCAAACACATAAAAATAAGAAAGTGTTTCAAGAAGGAGCATGCCTGATCTTGAACAGAAATGCTGGAAGTATCTCCTAAGCAAAATAATTGCTCCTATCATAACAGCTTGAATTCTATAGGTACTGAAAGGCAATCAAGGAATTGATTCACTTTAAACAGATAATCATAATATTGATTTCCCATCAGCTGGCTAATCATTATTTTGATTCACAGGTAATGTTAACAGATAGGCAACAATGACTTGCAAGAATACAGCATTTATCTTGCTATCATTCTCATTTAGTGGTATCCTCAGCACCACAACAGATACCTATAGCATTGTTGTACTTTACCTTCACTACATTTAATAACAATTCACAATTTTTAAATGTCAAGAATACAAAAACTGAAGCAACAGGTAAAAACCATATAATAAATATAAAAGCACTACAACAATGATAATTAGGGGTTTGAAAAATTCATTTTGCCATTTTACACAAATACTGATTGTTTAGTATGTGATTCATAATACAAAAATAACATACAGTTAACAGTGTGATTTCCTCAAAACAGCTTTTACGTGATGGACAGTGCCTCTGTCTTTTTCCCATTCACAAGGCCAAAGGGACAATTTTTTAGTTTTGAGGTAACACTTTTTTGCAAACCTACCACATTTTTCTACCTTTTTAAAGAAAAATGTCACCGTCATGGGCCTTTTTTCAACCGTAACGATACATTTGAAGTCAAAAGTGTACCCAAATGAATCAAAAAATTGATTCCATGCCCATATTTGGTCATGGCTCCTCCCACCAGAATCAAATTATTGATGCCTCCATATTTTGATTCCAAAAGTCTAGTTGGCCAACTGAGCTCCGTGCAGTTGTCACAGCCGAACTTGTTGTTGCCGGTGAGCAGCTCGGGCGCCGTATACTGATTGAGACAGGTGAGCAGGCTGCACTCCCCGGCGACCGCCTGGTAGTGCGGCGCCAGTGTGGTTAGCGCTCGACTGAGCCATTTACAGCGGTTTAGCGGTGTAGCCGGCGGGTACGACTTGTCTGAGTCACCGGTCGTCGGAGGGGGACCGTCTCCCCGACCGGACGCCGTCCCTTCTGCCGGTACAGGCTCGTTGGGCGGGCGTGTCATTCCTTTCGGCTCAGTCCGCCGGGACTCGCCACTGGCCTTGCAGGATGCGAGTACGTGTTCACCGCTGTCCCCGTTGCGCTCATCTGTATCGCGCAGCTTCCCCGACCGGGACGGTTTATGTTCCGCCACGGGAAGCGAGAGGTCGAGGAAGGAATCCAAGTGGTAAGTGCGCTCTGTGCACGCCTGGCACACCACCACGCTGACCAGCTGACCGCAGAATATGGTGTCGATTGTTGTATGTGACACCTGGCGGCTCAGCGCCTCGGCGCGCGCCTTCATGTGACCAGGTATCTCATTTGAGTCGGCGTTGGCAGACAGCCCCAGACCGAGTGCGATCTGGTTCTGGTGCCGTCGCAGGTCCTCGAGTCGCGTCTGCTCCATCAGTTCCCTCAGCAGCTCGTGAGCATCCTGATGGTCACAGCTGGCAAACTGTGGCACCTTCAGTGCAACATTCCTGAGGAGGTTGCTGGGGGAGACGGTGAACCCAGTGCCCGTGATGTGCATCTGGTTCAGGAAGCCGCAGAGCGATCTGGTGATCGGTCCAGCCTCCGGTAGCACCAGCTCCATGGTCTCGCCG